GCCTAAGTCTCAAAACCGTAACACTGTGTCAGTGTGATTAACAAGGAGTCTTTGCTCAGGAGAGTCTGACTAGAGCAGAATGCAAGAATACATGTGTGCGGGCAAAGCAAACTGGAAGACATTTTACTCCACTTACCTGCACTATGGTTTTGCACCCTTTCTCTTCCACGAGCACCTTGCATTCATGACCAGTGACAAAAAGGCACTTTGTAGTGTTAGAATTCTTTTAACCAACTGACGGGATCTCCGGGGTGCAGCCTGGGACTGTGGGACCGCTTAACTCTCTCCAGCCTGGGCTCTCTCTCACAGTGCCTTACTAGTGACCAGCAGCAAGCCCTTCCAGGCGCTGTGGTCACTCAGCGCAACAGCATGTGGAGCCCCACACACCCAGCTAGATTGCATGAATGCTCCCAGAGCCACTCTGGAATCACACAGAGAAAGGCACTAAAGCCAAATCCCCCCAGCTCCCAGCACTGTACTTCAGGAATATACCGTCTTGCACTGCTCAAGATGGGCAGTGCAGATTTAAAAAAACACCACATACCTCCACAAGGGGCGTGGCTGGTGCACTGTCTATACTGCCACTTTACAGCACTGAAACTTGCTGTGCTCAGGGGGGGTGTTTTTTCACACCCCTGAGCGAGAAAGTTGCAGTGCTGCAAATTGCCAGTGTAGACAAGTCCTTAGTTGTTTGCAGCATAGGTAGGGGCAGGAGAAGGGCCCCAATAGGTGTCTACTGTGTTTTTTGTGCTTGGAAAAAATACAAGTCCAGGCATGTCGGGGGGTCACTGCTGAGTCTCCAGGCAAGGTTGAGCAACTCCCCTGGTGTGGCCTCATGCAGGTGAGTCATTGAATTGTAGCTCCCTTGCTGGACAATTGTTGTTGATAAGTTGTTTGAAACCGCACCTGGGTATTGGTTACTTTCCTTGCTGTTGCCTCGAGGGAGCTAATATCTGGCTGATTCCCCAACTTACAGCATGTTTTAGTGACAACCATACAACACAATTCTCATATGCATTAATATACATATATGGATAGAGAAATTACTTTCAGCAGATCATAACCTTGCCCCGGATTCATATAAAGCAGGTCTTATAAGGTAAGATTACGATTATATAAAAATGAGGAATATGGGGGTTACAAGACACTCCCCCAAGGTATAGTATATCACACTGTCCATTTTAAATACACTTTTTTTAAAAAGCATAAAGTGCAGCATTACCCTAGCAACTGTGTCTCTGATGCTGGCAGCCAAACTAAATATAAAGAAGTAGTGGTGATACCAAGAGGCTATGTTGGGGCTACTGCTCATTGGGATATTGTAAGCAAGTTGTTACCTATAGGGATATCATTAACTTGAAATCTAGCCAGTTTAAAAGAATTTCAATGTCATACCTGCCCCCATTCTCCACCCCACCTCCAGTATTGTGTTTTTACAGGTTTTTTTAAAAAAGATACAATTGTCCCCCTGTTGCTGTTGGAAAGACCCTCACAAACACCAGTAGAAGCTGGCTACTCCATTGAGAGAAGCCATTACGTGGACTATACAGAAAGTACTATCAAACACATTAAGTATACAGTTCAAAATGAAAAAGGCTTTACTTCCTAGTATTACAAGTAACAGAAGAACCGGAGAAAACTAAAGTTAAAAAAGTGATTTAAATAAATTAAATTTGGTGTACTTTTCATATTGTCTGCCAGTCTCATACACTTTACTGCTTTGAATTGAGAGCTTTGCTATATTTCGCAGCTTTTCGGAAACACCACAATACATAAGATAACACTCTACAGAAGTGAACACTGCTAAACTTTTTGCAACTTTCAGGTAATCTATTTGAGATCAGAAATCCTGAAATCAATTGTTACATGTTTGAGCAAGAGCAATTCCTGAGATTAATGACCATCTGGAAGAGTTGCCAGTGCTCATTAACCATAACCTATCATCTGTTCTTCAGGAAGTAATTGGTAAAAAGGTTATTACTGCTAATAAAGCAATTGGTTAATTGTTTCAATAAAAATCAATTTCACATAGCACAAGATGATCAATCAGAATAGTGCTGTCATTCTACCTGGTATTTCTGGATAATTAACACCTAATACAGCAGCCACAGCTGTTTTGTTAATTATGATCTATGATTGAATTCACACAAGACTAGGTATGCCCTATTTTCCTTCCTTTTACAGGAAAATTTCTGGAACTAAAGGAAGGATGACATCTGCTGGTCTGCAATGATTATGATTGTTAACAGTACAAAAATATTGCACTATTGGAGCAGCATAGATTGATTTAAATCAAGTGGAAAGCCTCAATTTAAATAATCAATTGTAATCAGCTTTTCCATTTGTACTTCAATTATTTTCTAAAAAAAGTGCACTCTTATTGGTTATTATAACCATTAAAACATGTTGATTCACAAGTAAATTGTGTCTTTACATGAGATTTGGTACATCTTTTTGCTATGTAGGCGGGTAAACTATATACACATTTAAGTAATTATAAAGCCTAATATTTTCAAATTCTTATTAATTGTATATTTTAGTATGTTAGAAAATAGTGAATGATATATTGCTTATTTACCTAATAATTAATGTTTTACTCATTTGTGTCAAGCCACATTAGGATGGCAAATAGAATTTAAGTAATCAAACAAAACAGCATATACATTTTTATTAAACAAAACCTGAAATGTTTTACATACAAACTTCTCTTATCAAGACATGTTCGACATTTATGACTAAATGATGTATTGAAGATTTAATCAGTAGAGGGATTAACTGTAGTCAGTGAATTAAACTAGAGTGTCAGGTCAGCCTGGGAAATTTTTCAAATATGCCTAAGTGAAAGTGACTGGAGCTAAAGTTCCTACTTGTCTAGGTCTCTTGAAAATGACCCGTTTAAGTTACTTAGGCTATCTTTCAAATTTTTAAAAACTAATACAGCTCATCCCCTCCCTCCTTGTTTTCATTCATGGACTGGAAGAACAAGACAAGTTTTCCTGCTTTTTCAGCTCCCCATCAATAACTCAACTTTGAATGAATTAGTCCAAATAATGAACATATTCCCTGTGCCTCCAGAAGAGGCTACTGTTTTCAAAAGCTGGATTAGCAATTAAACTCTGGTTCCAGGGGCTTAGCTGGGATTTCCTTTCAATTCTGAGGTGTGACTTTGCAAGCATGTACTGCTTGAATGGTTCACCTCCAGTCCTGAAATTTGTTATGGTTGGCATGACCGATGCGTGATTATTAGATACCCATGTCGTAGCAGCAGCATCTTCTTCAGCAGTTAGGCTTCTACCCTAGTATATTGGGTTGAGACTATTAGCAAGAAAATGAGGTAGAGCAAGTGCTTGATACATCTGCTTCTTTACTGCCTGCAATTTCCTTTCTTCAGTGTCTCCTTTAGTTCCTTCTAAATTTCGACTGCATCGGTGATACAGCAGTCGTCTTTCTGCAGTTTGCCCAAAGCTAAGGAAATATACTGAAACCTATCTTCCATAATTCTCTTTAGTCTGATGTTGACTATGATAGTTCCATCAATTTGTGAAGAAAATCGTGACAAAATAGTAGTCAGAATAAGCTAGTTCTTAATATGCAGCTCAAAACAGTCAGCCACTGAATTCCATCATACATCTTGGGGAAAAATTAGTTTGGATTCTCCTTCTCTGGTCAGAGAAGCTGAAGCAAAGTGATTGTTATGGAAGTATTGTGCAGTTTCAACAACAACATTTGCCTTTATTCCCGAGTAGTACTGAAGTCTTTGGCAAAGAAAATCACCTCATCAAATAAGCACTGCACTCATATAATACATTTCAGGTTCCCTTTATTGTCTCTTCCTAGATTTGTCTCCTAGATTTTTTTCCTCATCTTTGTTATATTTGCAGCATTATCTGCAACCAAGCTACACACTAGATTTTCAGTTTTTGTTATAGCTTTTACTGCTACTTCTTCTAAGTATTCTGCTGTATGGGCATTTCCTGATGTATTAATCATTTCTGTAAGATGGACAACCCCATCTTGTCGTCACACAATCACATATTACTGGATCATTGTGTACATTGCTATACCCGTCAAGACTCGGATTAGCTAAAATTCCATCAATGTTTTCTGCACACTGTTCAGATTTCCTTCTCATACACTGTATCCAGCAACCTTTTAGAGATGTCTGGTTTTCTGGGTGGAGTGTAGCCTGGTCGTAGTGATTGAACCATGTCAATGAAATAGTTGTCCTGAACAAGATGAAAGGGAGAATTTGTTGTATACATGAACTAAGCAATCTTTTCATCTATGGAATCTTGCTGGTCTTTATTATGAACTCATCCATGGTTTTACTTGATGAAGAAAGCTTTATTTATTTTTAAAGAAAAAATAAATAAATACAGGTAGTTACTGTCTCGTATATTTTTAGTTGCAGCACTGATGGTGGTACCAGTAGATGACTCTGAAGTTGTAGTCATTACAGATAATGGATGTTCATAACCCCTTATGAATAAACTGGACCCTGAAACAAAATGATAAAGAAAAAAAAGTTACTGTCACTCACTGAGTACTACTCAATGCACTGCTTTAAGATTGTAAGTGAAAGATTCCTCCTCAAAGCTGTTTGTATCACAATTTATTTTAAACCCAATTTTATAGCAAAATTAATAAATAAGGATTATCTAAATCTCTTTAAAACCTTATCTGTAGTAACATGCCAAACTGCTTGAAAATTTTATTTTAAATGCTAAAAATTCATAAATGCCTAATAAAACTTCACTTTTAAACAGGAAATCTTTACTTAGGATGTTTGATTATATTGAGCAATTAAAAAAAATCGTTTCAGAAGTCCAGCAATAACAGTTTACTTTTTTTTTTTAATTGATAAACACACCCATTATATTTTGAACACAAACATTTTGAAATTCATAAGTAATCCACCTAAACTTACATTTTCATACATTTGTGCTTATCATTTACTAGCACAGTAAGACATGGTAAACAGTTCATAAGAATGGTGCAAAAATATGTTTACTAACCAATTGATCCAGATTGTTCAGATATATCTACATCATCCTCTTCAAAGTCATTGCCTTCTTTCATAGGAGCATTTTCATAATGTTGTTTCATTCTGACAATCAGGCTCTGCATCTCTTTGCTGCACTATTTACATTTGGCACAAGTTCCTTTTTTAATCCAACGGTACAGGAATTTCTTGAGAATAATCCGAAAACTGTCTTTTTTTTACGAACTGCAGCCATGGCAGTTTTTCCTCCTCCAGTCCCTGGGTGCTGAAATCAACACTATAGGCTGCACTCTGAAGAATCTTGTCCCTTCTTCCCACAATATCCTGCTTTCACATTAGTGTTGCTCCTTTCTGGTTGCACACACTGCTCATTTTCCCTTGTTACATTACTCCCTGCACCACCCCATCCCCAGAAAAAACACACACACCCCAATCCATGACTTCAGCTGGTATAACCCACTTTTGCACTGCAGCATTTTATTTCTTTAGAAACAGAGGCAGGCATTTGAAAAATTAATGGATTTCTGTTTGTTTGTATCTGTCTGAGAGCACATGCAAAGAGACAGAGCAAGGACATTTCTTGAAGTACCCAGAACCATGGGCTGGTAGTTACTGGCAGAACAACGTTTTTCATGAGCTGGAGAGTAAGTTTCCATGTTGGGTTGGAATCATAAATATTCATATTCAAATGAGTCAGAGCTCAAGTAAGGAGATACTCCTATTTTATAGCAAGACCACCCAGGTGGGCTCAGTGGATGATCCTTATGAGATAGATGATGGTGTCTCTTGGAGTCAGAAGCCTGCTCCCAATGCTTGTGATGACTTTGCCAGTCTCTTGCACCCCGTAGCCCTGGGACCCCACAGGATCAAGCCATTAATACATAGCATGACATACTGCAGGGGTGCTGGAACAATTTGTATAGTGGGGGTGCTGAACCAAACTGCAAACCATGTATACGACGGAAATCACTTCAAGCCTGGGTGCAGCAGCACCTCCAAACAACCCTAGTTCCAGCACCTATGCCCTATTGTGCCAGATTTATAAAAATTCACCTCAAAAGTTAGAATCGAAGGGGGGGGAGGGGGAAGAGGGAGAAAAGAGAGAAAGTATTTTTTATATATAAAAGCAGCCTTTAATTCAAAACTTTGATAGTCTCATGGATTCAGCATAATACATTTTAAATAAAAAAATAAATAAGAGATTAATACAAAATATGTAAAGGCCCAAATTTATTATAAATTCAGATTTTTAAATAAGCTTTTTCTTTCTAAAAAGAAACCTATCATTGAAGTAACAAAATAAAAAAATCCAATCTAATTTTTTTTTTTTTTAAATCTACCTTTATCCATTCTGTGTTGGAGGATATTATTGCCAATTATAACCTTAGCAGCTTGTGACAATTTGAATTTTATACACACACCCAAAGCAGGTGTGCAAACAAATTTCAGAAAAGGTCTGTTTTCTGCCCATTATGATCAATTTCTACTACTCTCTATTTGAAGCCAACGTTCACTTTCAGCAGATAGATAGTTGCTACTTGACCTTATGAGGAGGTACACCACTCACAGTTTAACTTGTGTATAGTCTGTTTATATTTTGAATTATATACACACACACACACACACACGTGCTTCTTCATTACAAAGAGGTGTTTTTGTTGGTATTACCAGTTTTTAGTTGTTTTATTGTACGTTCAGGGAGAGTTGCAAAGTCCAAATAAATGTGTAATGGAGGTAAGCTTATATACAGGCCAAAAAACTAAATAAATAAATGAATAAATAAAAACTTCAGGCACTTGAATAATATTTGCCTAATTCAGAAGCCTGCACACACAGATTTTTGTAATTTCATGGTTCAAGAAAATGTTAATAGTACCTTGGAATGTGTAGGTTTTTCCAGCATTTGTCACACCGTAAGTGAAAATAAGACGATTGTGTCCCTCCAAGAAGTCTTGTACTGGTTGTTTCACAGTACCATCAAAGAACTCTTCTTGAGTTGTTTCAGGTCCAAATACCTAAGCATTAGCAAGAAGCAATTTATGACCTTCAGTTGTTTTAAAAGGACCATTTGGGGGGTGGGGAAGAAAGAGCAGTTTACATCTAGGCACTTTTCATCAGTTAAATGTATATAAAATGTTCCCAGTTTTAAAAGAATTAAAATACAAAATAAAAACTTGTTTAGGGCAAGATTCAACAAGTTTCCACATTGCAAAATGAAGTTTGTCTCAAGTATTATCTGCTTACTTGTGAAAAAGTGAATTTCTGCACCATCTGCCCTACATTTTTTTCACTCAGCCGACAGATCATGGAATTCTTAGGGCCTTTCAATATAATGCTAGTTGAGTCTTGAATAGAAACACAGTCCTGTAAAAGGAAAAAAATTGGATTTTTAAGCTCAAAAAATTGTACATTTGCATCTTAGCTAAAAAAAGTTTTGTAAAAAATGAACAAGTTTTATGTAAAAAAGAGCCACACCTGAGATTCATTTTCTTTTTCAGTTGCTGTGAAAGGCCTAATACGAAGGCAAACTTGTATATGTTCCTTGGAATCCAAACTGTTCCTCTAAAAAGAGAGAGATTACCTTCAATTAATAGCATTGCTATTTAGTTTGAATGTCTAGTTTGACAATTAGCATGGCAAGATATTAAATACTAGTTATTTCAGGTCCCTTCCTCCCCCTCCCCCCCACCCCACAATTCATTCATTTATTGCTGCAAGTACTTTGGCCCTTCTAGAAATTCACCTTAATAACCTTATAAAATATTTAAAATGACTTCTTGTGGATTATAAAGATATGCTATGCCGTTTAGGCCAAGTAGTAATTGAAAATAAAAGCCACCAGCATACCCCATATTATCCTTTGTATCTGGTAATTAATTTCTGCATTACTAGAGCAGAACAGGAGGCAACTATAGATTTTACCAACATTTCCTGCAAGTTATTGTTTATAATTATCACTTTTTGTGTTGGTATCAAAAGTACCCAGCAAAAAGATGAACTTCAAAATACGATGAAAATATGTACAAATAACATCTCTGAATTTCTCTGCCTCTGATGACAGAAGTTACTCTAATTATAAAAGCTATCTTTTTTTGATTAACACAAAACACAAACTACACAACGACAGGACTATCAAGGCACAAATACAGGAATTCATTACTATAGCATCTAATTTTAAATGTTTCCCTTTTATTTATACAGAAATATAGATATGCTTGTTGCTTTATCATTAAAAGCAACAGGATATATAAATGCTTCACAATTTAAGTCATTTCATTTTTAAAATTAACAAAGCAGACTGTTAAACATTCTCACCTGGCTTATATCCAAGTTTGAAGAAACCAGGGAAAATTCATCTGAGAGGTCTGCTTTAAGGTCCTCAACATTTACTGGCCCAATTCTTGGAGGTAGCTCAACACTAGCAATATAAGATGGTCTTATAATTGTTGCTTTATCCAAAACTGGTTCCATTCTGCAAAAATAAAGCCAACTGTTTAAATAGCATAGCATGCCTGAAGACATGAGAAGCCATCATAATACAAGTTTCTATTTCTATATGTGTTTTATTTATTTTCAAACCTTACACATAAATACAGTTTCCAATAACAGGCTGGGGCAAAAGGAGAAAAAACACATCTAAAGGAGCACTCAAGGAAGGTAAGACTATTGTGAAGAAGCTAAATTAATTCTTTGCATCACTCTTCACTGCTGAGGATGTGAGGGAGATTCCCACATCTGAGACATTCTTTTTAGATGATAAATCTGAGGAACTGTCCCAGACTGAGGCATCAATAGAGGTGATTTTGGAACAAATTGATAAATTAAACAGTAATAAGGCACAGGACCAGATGGGACTCATCCAAGAGTTCTGAAGGAATTCAAAATAAGATTGCAGAACTACTAGCTATGGTATGTAACCCATCACTTAAATCACCTTCCGTACCAGATGACTGGAGAATAGCTAATGTAACACCAATTTAAATAATCAAAAACCAACAACCAAAAACTCTCCAGAGGTGATCCTTGCAATTACAAGCCAGTAAAACTAACTTCAGTACCAGGCAAATTGGCTGAAACTACAGTAAAGAACAGAATTACCAGACACATAAATGAACACGATTTGTGGGGGGGGGAAGAGTCAACATAGCTTTCGTAAAGGAAAATCGTGCCTCACTAATCTATCAAAATTCTTCGAGGAGGGGGCAAACAAACATGGGGACAAAGGTGATCCAATGGATAGTGTACTTGGACTTTCACAAAGCCTTTGACTTGTCCCTCAAAAAAGGCACTTAAGCAAGGTAAGCACTCATGGGATAAGAAGGAAGATCCTCTCCTGGATTAGTGACGGGTTAAAAAATAGTAAACAAAGGGAAGGAATAAATGGTCAGTTTTCAGGATGGAGACAGGTAAATAGCAGTGGCCCACAGGGATCTGTAGTAGGACCAGTGCAGTTCAACATATTCATAAATGATCTGGAGAAAGGGGCAAACAGTGAGGTGGCAAAATTTGCAGATGACACAAAATTACTCAAGATAGTTAAGTCCAAAACTGATGGTGAAGAGTTACCAAAGAATCCCATAAAACTGGTGACTGGGCAAATGGCAGATTAAATTCAATGTTGATAAATGCAAAGTAACGCACACTGGAAAACATAACCCCAACTATACATACAAAATGATGGGGTCTAAATGAGCTGTTATCACTCAAGAAAGATCTTGGAGTCATCGTGGCAAGTTCTCTGAAAACATCTGCTCAAAGTAAAAAAAAAGTTAACAATGTTAGGAACCATTAGGAAAGGGATAGATATAAAGACAGTAAATATAATGCCACTATATAAATGCATGGTACGCCAACACCTTGAATATGGTGTGCAGTTCAGATTACCCCATCTCAAAAAAGATATTAGAATTAGAACATAAGAACGGCCATACTGCGTCAGACTAAAGGTCCATCTAGCCCAGTATCCTGTCTTCTGACAGTGGCCAATGCCAAGTGCCCCAAAGGGAATGAACAGGTAATCATCAAGTGATCCATTCCCTGTCTCCCATTCCCAATTGGAAAAGGTACAGAGACGGTCAACAAAAATGATTAGGAGTATGGAACAGATTCCAGATGAGGAGAGATTAAAAAAAACTGGGACTATTAAGCTTAGTCATCGCATTTCCAAGGGAAGATATTTTTTGCTACTCTGCATGTGCAGAATTTATTTCCCCCGCAGATTTGCTTCCTCGCAAAAAAGACTTTCTGACCCTCCTCAGCAGTATGTTTTGGAGGCTCAGGGCAGCCGGCAGAGAAGTAAATCACTGTGGGCGAGGAGGCGGGACTGGGAAGACCCGGCTGGTGGCTCCTACCCTGCACCGGGCTCAACTGCTAGTCCCGGCTGGGCTGGGGAGGATGGGACTTTCTCTTCCCTTGCACAGCATCTGGGGCCAGATCAGACCCACTCCCAGATTTCTCCCTCGGCTGAAGGAAGCTCTGCAAACTCCCCCTCCCACTCCCCCACTTCCTGCACCCATCACAGCTGCAGGGGGAGGGATCCCTGTACAGGGAGCTGCTCCTCCATCTGCCTTACCCCTGTGCATCCAGACACCCTAATACTCAGACCCCACCCACCGAGCCTAACCCCCCCCCGCACTCAGAAACCCCGCCCCCCAATGAGCCGCACTCCCCCTGCACCTCAGACACCCTGAGAAGCCACTCACACCCAGATCCCCGCCCAGATGCATCTGGACCCCCACTGAGCCCACACACACCTATACCCCCCTGCTGAGTTCTGACCCCCCACCCCCTGCTGAGCCTCAACCACCTTCATCTGGACACCCCTGCAGAATCCAGTTACTGTTACACCCAGAACCCCCCCAACAAGCCCTGTGCATCCAGATCTCCCCCCACACCCAGATCCCCCACTGAGCCACCTGCATCCAGACTGCCCCACACAGAACCCTCTCAACCTACACCTGGATCCCCCCACACTAAGCCCCTCCACACTTGGATCCTTGCTGAGCCTGCCTGCCCACACCTGGTGCACCTGGCAGAGAGGGGCAGGCTCGGCCTCACCGCTGAGTCCATGTCCCAGGGGGAGCTGCACAGTGATCTCCCACTTTTATGCAGCCAGTGGCCTGTGTTCCCCAATGCCATGCTGGAGCCTCATTTATTTAACAAATACAATTTGCAGAATTTTAAAATATTGTGCACAGAATTTTTTTTGGCGCAGAATGGCATCAGAAGGATATAGAGGTCTATGAAATCAGAATGGTGTGGACAACGTGGGGTAGATAACACTTCCTTATTCTTCACATAACACAAGAACCAGGGGTCACCCAATGAAATTAACAGGCAGCAGGTTTAAAACAAAACAAAAAAAAATACTTCACACATACAGTCAACCTGTAGAACTCGTTTCCAGGGATGCTGTGAAGGTGAAAAGTATAACTGGGTTCAAAAGAAGAATTAGGTAAAATCATGGAGAATAGGTCCATTGATGGCTATTAGCCAAGATGATCAGAGATGCAAACCCACGCTCTAGGTGTTTTAAGCCACTAACTGCCAGAAGCTGGGAATGGATCACTTGATAATTGCCCTGTTCTGTTCATTCCTGCCGAAGAACCTCATATTGGCCACTGTCAGAAGACAGAATACTGGGCTAGATGGACTATTGGTCTGACAAAGTATAGCTGTTCTAATCACCTGGATCGATCGGTCTTCAGCTGTCGTTAAGACTGCGCCGATCACAACATGTCTGCCTTTCTTCTCCACGTTCATCCGAAACGTTTAACAATGTTATCTTCCCATCTTCTTGGAGGCCGACCAGATGGTCTTTTCTGTTCTCGCAGGAACCACTCAGTAATGATTGCAGTCCACCTATTGTCCGTGAACCGTGCTATGTGGCCCGCTTTCCACAACAATATCTTTCATACTACGAAGACTCGACAAGAAAAGCAGTCAGGTTGGTCTGAAAATGAACCGTTGCAAAACGAAATAATTGCGATCAGACATCTTACGAAAAGCCAGAATAACGGTAACAGGAGAAGAAATTGAAGAAGTGGAACAGTACATATATTTGGGCCAAGAAGTTAATATATGCCAAGACATGAACAGAGAACTCTCGCGAAGGATTCGGGCAGGATGGTGTGCATTTAATTCCATCAAGGACCTCCTCAAAGGCAAAATCGACAAGACCACACGTACAAATATCTTCAATTCAACACTGCTGCCAGCCATGCTGTATGGCAGTGAAACCTGGGTACTGACGAAGAGAGAAGAACAGCGGCTATCGGTAGCTGAAAGGGCAATGGAACGAGCTATGTTGGGAATTTCCCTTCTGGATCGTATCCCAAATGAAATGATTAGAGAACGCAGCGGTGTGAAAGCTGTTCTAATATTGTGGAATATTTAGCAGTTTCTACATATGCCCTTTAACACTTCCAGAATCTCAGAATAACACTGCCCAAAATCCAGACAAGTGTCCCTTCAAGATGTTTCTGCCACTTCAAAGGTCAACCACCAAGTTCAAATCAGAGCAGTTTTAACCATGGTGTACACTAAACTCTACAGTCAATTGTGGAATCAAGTGGACACAACTTTGGCCTAGTCGACACTTCAAGTCCTGATTTTTTCCCCAAAACTGTGTGCTTTCAGAAAAGACCTCACTTTATGCACTTTCAAAATACAGTAATATTGCATACTGATTCAAATCACTTAAGGTTCAGCCCCCTGTCTTTGTAGATCAGTAAACCTTTAAAATGTATTCTTCTGAGGGTTACCCCTCAAAGTAAAGTTTACTGAACCTGAGAGAAAGGCAACATGGAGTCTGGGTATGAAGGAAGCTCCATGTGCTCTTTTTTCCTTATCTGGTGTTTGCTGAAATGCAAATTGTTCTGTTTCCTGCCTTCACCTCCCCCTGCTGTCTTGATGGTCCTGTTTACAGCTTATATGTAAATTGAGGTAAACACCTACTTTATTGAGGCTAGACCTGTTTAACAACTCCATCTGACATGCCTGGTTTAAACACACTTTAGTTATAATTCTAGCATATCCATAACTCAATACCTACACTGTACATAAATCACACAAAAATATTAATGATCAGTGAGTTCGTTTTTAAAGGATACCTCACAAGGCATATTCTGTAATAATCTTTGTACAATAGTGTGTAGGGTGTGACTTCAGAGAGATGGATTATCTACATTGAGAGGAAAAAAACCTTCCATCCATGTAGGAAGCATCTACATTATGGCACTACAGTGGCATAGCTGCAGCACTGCAACTGTATTGCTTGTAGCATTGACATAGCCTGTGATTCATCAGTCTGTTCACCTAAAAGACTCAGACTTTAAGGCCGGAAGGAACCATCATGATCATTTAGTCTGACCTCCTGCACATCGCAGGCCACAGAACCTCACCCACCCACTTCTGCAATAGGCCCATAATCTCTGACTGCGTTACTAAAGTCCTCAGATCTTGAGTTAAAGACTTCAACTTACAGAGAATCCACCATTTTCTCTAGTTCAAATTTTCATGTCTCACACTGCAGAGGAAAGCAAAAAACCCAGAGGGTCTCTACCAATCTGACCCAGGGGGAAATTCCTTCTTGACCCCAAATATGAAAAGTTACCCACATGATCAGGATTGAGACCCACCAACCATACACCTGGGAAAGAATTCTCTGTAGTAACTCAGAGCCCTCCCCATCTAGTGTCTCATCTCCATCCATTGGGGATATTTGCTATTAGCAGTCACAGATATTTCCTACAATGGTACATGGCCTCTCATCACACCACCCCCTTCATAAACTTATCAAACTCAGTCTTGAAACCAGCTAGGTTTTTTGCCCACACTGCTCTCCTTGGAAGCCTGTCCCAGAACTTCACTCTTCTGATAGTTAGAAACTCATCTAATTTCAAGCCTGAACTTGTTGATGTCCAGTTTGTATCTATTTGTTCTCATGCCAACACTGATGCTTCACTTAAACAATTCCTCTCCCTCAATGGTGTGTATCCCACTGATGTATTTATAGAGAGCAATCATCTCTCTCCTCAGCCTTCATTTGGTCAGGCTAAACAAGTCAAGCTCCTTAAGTTCCCTTTTGCAATGCAGGTTCTCCATTCCTTAGATCATCCTAGCAGCCCTTCTCTGCACTGTTCCAGTATTTACTGTGGTATTTCATGTTCACACGACCCTCCTTCTGTCAGTGGTGCACATCCTTATCAGGAGTGTTTGCACTGATTTAAGAAGGGCAGAGTGAGGGGCTGAGAGCCCAGGCGGCAGCTGGGCTCCCAGCGTGGAACTGAGAGCCCAGATGTGAGACCCCCTCTGCCCTGGGTTGACAACCTGAGCTGTGAGCCTGGTGCAGGGTTCACAGCATGGAGTCTACCAGCCTTTCTTGTCAATTTCAGGCTCAAGAGAGAGCTCACAGCTGAATCTGTGAAATTGACAAGGAAGGCTGGTAGGCTCCCTGCTGTGGGGTCAGAGCTGGGGCTGTCACCCCAGGTTGGGGGGCAGGAGTTCCAGCTGTGAGCCCTATGCCCAGCTGAGAGGGGGGGGGGGCTGCAGCTGTGAGCCAGATGCTGGCCTCAATTTCATAGTAGTAGGGAGCCTACCAGTCTTTCTTGTCAATTTCACAGCCCCAGTTGTGAGCCTAGCCTGGCAAAGCAGAGCTATGAAACTGACAAGAATGACAGCCAACAGCCAATGTCAGTAATACAGTGTCTTCATCAGTGGTTCTCAACCTATTTATCATTGTGGGTCATTAGCCGGGCCTCAGGTAAAGAGCCACAGATTCCCCTCCCCCTCCCCGCAACCCTCCTCAGACCCTCTAAGCTCAGCACCCTGTGCGGCCAGAAGCAGACCCCCAGACCCCACCGGGTGAGCTGAACAGCCTTTACCACACAGCTCTAATTGGTCCCCATGCGCCTCAACGGTTGAGTACCACTGGTCTACATGGACACTGCGTTGCCCTAACTAAACCGACATAAGTGCTACGCTTCTCATGTTTTATGTCGGTGTAGTAGGGCACCTACATCAGCGAGAGCAAGGCTATAGCATAGACATTGACATAATCAGGTCGATGTAAGCTGCCTTACGTGGACCTAACTCTGTAGTGTAGACCAAGCTTCAGTCTTCCGCATCCATCAGCCTGTAAAATACAGATGATATTTGGCCAGCTTTATAAAGCGTTTCAAGAGCTACAGAGGTGAGCTATGCAAGAGTAACAGTCAACTTCTGCCCCAATTTCTACCCTAGTCAGTCCCACCTATGTGGGGATGGAGTTGCATGGAATGAAAGTCTGGGCAGAATTTGGCCCAAAGTATTATCAGGGCTTCAACAACGTACACAACACCTACTAACCTGAAAACTAAACCTACTATTGGAGTGAAATATACCTGTGCTGTGATAGTCTCAAAGCCATGTCCACTTCAATTATAAGGATAAAGAGTGCACAACTGTTGTATTCAAGTACTCTGTTTAATTGGTAGTTATCCATCAGTAATACCTATTGACCAGTTATCTTATTTGATTTAAATGTTAAATTTTGAAAGAGCTTTAGATGTCTCAGAATATGCTCTCACATCCCCTACATTTGTTAATTAGGACACAAACAAGTGTGCCTTAAATTAAATTAATAGGTCAAGATAGGAACTCTCTGTGGGTATGACCATAGGGCAGGGGTTCTCAACCTCTCTCTTTCAGAGTCCTTCCCATGCTGAAAAAACTCCACAGCAACCCCTGCCCCACCCCCCACCAAACAAACAGCTGTTTTTCTGCATATAAAATCCAGGGCCAGCATTAGGGGGTAGCAAGCAGGGCAATTGCCTGTGGCCCCATGCCACAGGGATCCCCGCAAAACTGTTGGTTGGGCTTCAGCCCACCACAGCTGGCCTCAGGCTTTGGCTTTCTGCTCTGGGACCCAGTGAGTTTAATGCCAGCTCTGCTTCACAGACCCCTCTGAAACCTCCTCACGGCCCTCCAGGGAGCCACAAACCCCTGGTTGAGAACTGATGCTATAGGGGACACTCAAGAGACTTAAGGCAAATCAGTTAAAGATGTGAAGTCAATGACAACAACCCATGAAGTGCAAGTCCCTTGCATAGACAAGTAAACTTAGAATTTGCACCAGTGACCTTTCCCCCCATTTCACCCTAGTAATAACCTCTGGTGCACTGCTATTTTTCTCATTGACACAAGGGTTTCCAATAGAGCAGCCTCACTAATAACTGAAACCAGGCCTAAGCCCCAGTATAGAAGAGGCCTACGCTTTCTCTCCCTCTCCCTTTTCACACTCGGTTGGAAGTTGTCCTTACTAATTATGATGGTTACTTTTTGCAAATACAAGCTTGAAGCCTGCAGAAGGTATGGCACTTAGCCTGTAGATTCCCACTTGCTATGGACAAGTGGGTTTTCCTACTACCACTTTCCTAAGTTCCCCTGGCAATAACCAGCCCAGGCACACACGAAGAGAAGTCAGTCACTCATCCTTTACCAGAAGATTTTAAAACTCCCTGTGGTTAACATGTCACTCACTCAACCAATAGCAAGAACTCGGCCCTAGATAAGCCTCGTGTAGCTAAGCTGGGCTATTACCGCCGCAACTCACTATATTCCTCCTGCAGGAGCAGCGCCCCCAGCCTCCGCCCGAGCAGTCACCCCGATGTTGTTACAGCGCCTCGGGACACCGCAGCGCCTCAGACGGGCCGCACCAGCGGCGCTCCGAGCCCGGCATGCCGGAGACACCAGGGCGCTGGGAGCCAGGGCAGGCGGCCCCAGGCTGCCTATGCCGGGGCACGACTCGCTGCCCAGCGCACCAACAGGGAAAGCCGAGGCAGCCTCCAGGCAGGGAGGGGAAGGGAAGCCAGGAAGCGACCTCTCGGAGCGCAGCTGTGGCCCGGAGATCGGCAGCCCCTCAGCCCGCGCTCACCTGCGGGGGACGCGAGACCTCTCTGCCGGCGACACCGTCAGACTCGCCGCGGTCCCTTTTCAAATCCACCCAATGGCGGCGCGCTGTGCCGCACAGCACCATGGGAGGCGAGGGGCGGGCTGGAAGCCAACGTCACGCCGCGGGGAAGCGGAACGTCTCCGCCCAGCGCAGGCTGGGACTGGGGCGGGGGGAGGCGCGTGCGGCTGGGATGTGTTGTGCCGGGGCCGGTGTGACGTCATCACAGATAGCAACCCTGCCCTTTTCGACACGCAAACGTGACCGTCTTGGCTGCTGCTCGCGACTTGGTAGCGCCTAGGCCAATGCTCAGTGCACCCACCCCAAGTCGGGAATTGGGAGCGGGAGCTGTTTGTGTCGTTACAACCCACAAAATAAGCTCTGTTCACATGAGATGCTACGCAGTAGATTGTACAGATATTAAGCATCTATCGGGGTTCTCAAACTTCACTGCACCCCAACCCCCTTCTGACAACAAAAATACTCCAGGAGGGGGGACCAAAGCCTGAGTCTGCCCGAGGCCCTCCGCCCCAGGCAGGGGGACCAAAGCCAAAACCTGATCCCCGTCACCCAGGGCTGGAGCCCTTGGGCTTTGGCCCCAGGCAGTGGGATTGGAACTTTGGCTTTGTCCCTGGGCCCCAGCAAATCTAATGTCAGCCCTGGTGACCCTATTACAGGGGGGTCTCTAACCACTTTGGGATCCTGACCCACAATTTGAGAACTGCTGGCATATATGATCACATGTTTTCTAGGCTCCTTGTACCCTCTGGGGAGTCTGAATACACCTGTGGGCTCTACTTAGCTCCTTGGTCTTGGATTTTCTTGATTGAAAAGGGACGTGGCATTGCTCTCTCCAGCCCGTTCACATGTTGTGCAAAAATGAGCTGTTAGTCACCGTAGATTTTGCAGATCTTTATAATGTGATCCTCCTCCTCCTCCTTTCTTACATGTTTTGATGAGTAGAAAAAATATAAATTATTTATTCTTTCTCTGCCTCAGTTTCTCATATGTGAAATTGGGATAATAGCCATAATAACCCAATAGAATATTGTGAGGAAAAACTTATGAATGTGTCTGAGGTGCTCAAATGTTAGTTATATTTACATTTAGAAAAGCATATAAATATCAAGGCCCCAATCCTGAAGTATATAATGCCTAATTTGTGAGTTCTTCAGTGGTACTACTCACATGTTTGCAGTTAAGCAAATGTAAAAATGTTTGCAAAATCAGGGCATAAATAAAATAATATTAACCACATTCTTGTGAGATAGAAAAGATTATAATCACTGTTTACATTGCGGAGATAAAGGAAGAGGGAGGCACAGTTAGGACCCTAATTGGGCCCTGGGTGATCACTACTTCCCAACACAGATGTAATGAGGTTGAGTAGTGCCTGTATAAGAAAAACTAAAACGACTAATTATTCCTCAAGAAAGGTTTTTAATGACTTTCGACTATAAAGGCAACACAGACAAAATAAGAAAAGCAAGATTAAAGACCAGCACTGAATAAGGATTAATATAAACGGCAAGTTATACTGAAGACAAGTACAAGTACATATAAAGTTATTATTAATTAGCTATTTACTACTATTCTTAACCCTATAGAGTACATGTAAAATTATTATTCATTAGCTATTTACTATGATCTTAACACTATAGTATCGATACAACTTGAGATCAATTCTGCCCGAGCAACCAGACATTTTTACTCCATAACCTTACCCTGCATTTGCCCGAAAATACGTTACCCTTCAGTCAGCCGTTTTCTGCACTGGCCAGGTTCAGACGGTCACGAAGTGCACAACCCTTCGGTTCAGGGGGTGTGGGTAAGGTTTCCCTTATGACCAAAACACACACACAATCCCATGCCTTTGTACTTTTTATCTGATCTGTCAGCCGTGTTCTAAAACAGACCGACCAATTAGGGTCAGCCAAATCTTTATTGTGGTTAGCATTGTTGCCTGGGCTGTATAATTTATGCTTGCTTATCTTCTTGTGTCGCTTTAACTGTATAATGTATACTTACTGATTTTCTTGTAGCCAATTGTTTTCATTGTGGGTTAGTCAAGCTATGCCTGGGGGCACAACTTATCTTGCTTAGAATGTGTTATCTGGTTGCAGCGCGTTTTGACCACAAGTCTTAGCTTACTTCTGCAAAGCTTGCCCTTTTCACCTCTGCAAAGCGGAAGTTTGAGGCCTAACACTGACAATACCTTTGTTCATTTTAAGCTTGGCAATACTTTTGCTCAGAGATTAATCACATACATATGGTGAAAAGAGGAAGAGGTTAAGTGACTTGCCCACATCCACAGAGTGACTCCAGTTCTTGAGTTGGTATTAGAACTCAGAATTCCAATCTTGCCTCATAAGTAGTATAAGGGCCCTACCATCAATCAAACATTAACCCTGCCCCTTGACACCTTAAGCACCGCGCACCTGTCACCAGAAGTCCCGTCCCATGGGAGTATTACTTCCGGGGTCAAGCCAGACACATGACCGGAAGCAAGGTGTATCATCTGACCCCCTCTAAGAACTCCTCCCACTGCCCTCTACCAATCAGGATGGGTTTAACTCCCGTAGGACTGCCCCAAGAGGAGATTTGACCAATTAGGGGGAATTCTGGGGCGGGGTGACCCGTCTGGAAGTGCTTCATGTGACACCTCTAAGAACTCCTCCCACCACCCTCTACCAATCGCGATGGGTTTCGGCCACAGAGGACCAACCCGAGAGCAGATTTGACCAAAATAGGGCAGATTCTGGGACGGGATGAACTGCCCAGAAGAGGTTCATGTGACCCCTCTAAGAACTCCTCCCACTGCCCTCTGCCAATCAGAGCACAGCACCATCACCCCATAAGTCCCAGCGCCAGACAGAAGAGGCCATCTCTTACCAAGAACGAGTGTTTTAGAAATCGTGGAAAGGCTGAGAGGAAACATGGACTCCTTCACCACCCCCGTGAGAACTTCAGACTTTGTTTTAGCCCCAAGAGCCTTCGACCATCCACGGAGAAAGCGCTACATCAGTGACAGTTCCGAGGAGGAGGAGAGAGGAGTGGCCAACGGGAGCCCTTTGGCCCAGCCATTGATGGAACCCGAATCCGAAACCCAACTGCTCGTGAGACACCCCGATGAGCATGGTGGCCTCTCGTCGTCCACCCCCTTGGAGGATGAAGGCGAACGCAGCTCGGGGGAGTCACCGGCGGACAAGGTGAACGGAAAAGACATCGCTCAGGTAAATGAATGATTAAGAAGTGACGGTCGATGATGGGGTGTAATGGGGTTAGGAACCAGAGTTGTATAAATCTAAAAATAAGCAGTGGGAACTTACTTTTTTCTTTTCAGAAATTCTCTCAACAGCTCAACGATGCCTTTCCAGAGGACCCGGAGGCCCTGCACAGTGTTGCATCAGACAGTGAAGCTGAACCGAGCCTGCCTTGTTTTTGCTCAACGCTGATACAAATTGTTGTAGAGGACTCCGAGGGTGACAGCTATGAGGAGTTTAGGAGGAGGCTTGGCATGGAACTAACTGAGCCAGTGCCACGTAGTGAGCATAAAAAAGTCATGCAGACTATTGTACGTATTGCTGTTTATGCTGTCCTTAATCACTGTCTTAGGGGAAAGCTTTTAGAAGATTGTGAGGGCTGTGTCATAGACGCACCAGCCTAACGGCACCATGACTGTGTGACAGTTCAATGGATATAAACTGCAAGCTCCAGGACCCGTGTGCTGAACCGTGTTTTGAAAGCTTATTAAACACTGTTATTGCCATAGGTTATGCTATGCAATGTCTGTGCCTAACCCAAGAACATTTAGCGCAAGGGGTGACCTTGATAAATGCTGTGCAATTCAGTGGAGACCCTGACCGTGTTTTAAAGAAAATGACCAAACCGGAAGATGCCGGCTTACAGAGTTATAGTGGCCGTCTGGTCCGCACAAAAAGTTACAGAACCCTGCTTAAGAAAAAGACTATTTGTAAGAAATCTAAAAGAATTAATTTAGAGAATCGTGAGGGGAGAAACAAGCAATATAAAACTTGATAGCTGTAAATAAAAAAAAATATATTGAAAAGGGCTTTGTGACTATCTGTGTTTCTGTTAGAAGGTCTCTGTGGCCCTTAAGTGAGGTAAAAGTTTTAATGGAGCATCTTGGTTTGTTTTCAAGGAGCTGTATGTCTTTTAAATAAATAAAAAATGTTTGTGAGAACCTAGCTCTTATGTCTTTGTGTAAAAGAGACCCATTTACAGCAAAAAGCTGAAATGTATGTTGTAGAATCTTGTGGGAGGGGAAAAATCCTAAAAATGTGTTTACAATTAAAAAAACAAAAAACCAGGGATGGTTCAGACATGTTTGAGTACAATAGAGCTGACTCATCCTGTTGAACTGAATGGTTTTAAACACACCCCCACTGAATAGCCAGGGTGACTGAGATTACTCACTCTTTTTGCCATCAGTGTTAATGTATTATTGATCAGTTATTAAATTTGGTGAGTGTGCACCCACAGTAAGGGAGGTGGGTGGGTGAGGATGGTGAGTTCTGATTAATATGAAACGAAATAAAACCTCAGGAATTCACAGATGCTATTGTACAATTTAAATATAACCCCTGGAGTTCGTAGAACTCTATTGGGCAGTTTAAATATGACCCCAGGATTTGGTTGAACACTGTTGGGCAGTTTAAATATAATCCAGGGTTGGTTGAACGCTATGGGTCACTCTTTCTAGCAACTCAAAGTCATTAAAAGTTTAAAATAATATATTTACCGAAAAATAAACAAGGGTCTAACCCAAAACTGAAATGTTTGAAGGGTTCACAAACCTCCATCATACTTTAGAACAAGCATTTGCTCTAAAGACAATCAAACATTTAAAAGCTATGGGTGCTTATTATGGTTGCCCATTTTATTTCAAAACCAACCCCCAAACTTTAAGCATGAAAGAAACATGTATAAAAAACAAGCCACAATACATTCACTGATATCTGCAAAGGGCCCCCACTTGGAAATGGGTACAGTTACATTAAGGATTGGTGATTTACTATTT